TTCAGGAGGCACCACTGATATGTAGGAGAGTTCTCAATCTAACTACATGCTACGTCCCCAACACCCCAACTAATGAAGCAGTCATCTGCTTCAGCTTCAAACATCCACTTCATTCTTCCTACACAGGTTGTCTTGTCTGCTTCTAAGACAAATAAAGTAAAGAAAAACATAACAGCCATAGCTGTGAGACTCAGTCCAATGGTACAGTCCTCTGACAGGACTGCAGTAGTCCTCATTCCAGCCCCCTGTTGTGTCTCAGTCCTGAGACCTGCTCAGCTCTGATGTCTCCTCAGGCTGGGGAGAGGAAGAGCTGGACAATTCCTGCTTTTTCCTGGTCAAGACCAAACGTTGGTCGGTCTTCATGCCCAGAAACTAATTAAGGAAACTCTTTCCTTAATTAACAAACCCAGCAAGTTTGACAGGGTGTGACAAAGTCTATGCTTGGCTCCCTTTGCAGGGAATTAACCTGCTCTGAATAATCCAGCAAGGGGTGTGGTCACCTCATCACAGGGCATACTGGGTGAAAGTTTCCCCTATGCAGAGGGCCAGCAATAGCCTCTGAGTCACTTAAATCACATTTAGGCCATTTCGAGAATTATGAGGGAGTCAAGCCGTTGGATGTAATGTAACAACATTGAGAGTCTCCTACCTTCTGCTGCATTCAAATGGTGAGCTGCATTTTCTGTGTGTCAAACTAGATTGTCAAAAAAGCATCTTCCTCTTGGATTGTAATTTTGATTACACATAGGACACATTTAAATGTATTTTAATGTTATATTCTTCTTTTGACCAGATACAGCGCTTAAGATCTCTCTTATAGCATGTTGCAGTTTTCCCTAGCTGCATGGAAAACTATGAAAGTGGTTAATGCTCCAGGAATACTCTGCATGTTAATGATTTTTGTTATGGAGCATAAGGATCCATAGGACATAATAGCATTCAAGCTTCTATGTGACAATTATTTCAATTAATTTTAGTACTAGAGTAAACACACATTAGGAGCCATGTCATCACTAAAGGCTGAAATCACATAGGACCATGGACATTATGCACTGCCAGTTATTTACATACAAAAAGGGACAAGAATGTACCAATAAAATGATGTAGTAAGAGTGCTCCAAGCTTGCATCTTAACTCTAAGCTGAGAACTGTGATTGTTCCTAGAGAGAAGAACCACGGGATGCTGGTTCATTAGCAAAGGCTTTCCTCATGCTTAATTACACAGGAACCCCGAAGAAGGTACATCAACCAGCCATCTGAGCACCACTCATTAGCAATAGTGCTATTACATTCAATGCAACTTAATTCCTAATGAATGAACAATTACCTTTAAGTTTTCATTAGGGAATTCAAGGCTGAATCTCTCTATGACAAGGAGAAAACAACTGTCAAGAAGCTCTATTTTTGGTTACTGTTCAGGGGAATGTCCTGTGTGCACAAAGCTGTTCAGAACAAACTGTGACTTTTTCTAGGTTGTGTGGGGACAGAAGAGGATTTTCTCCCTGACCACAAAACAAGCAATACTGCATATCCCTCGGTATTTGAGTGGCTGCTTTGGTACATGGTCATCTGCACCAGTAACCATCGACAAAAAAAGAAGCACTTCTTCCAGTGCAGTGTACCTGGGAGATGACAATACTTCAGGTTAGTACAGAAGCATGAGAGAGAATAAATAACTATACAGGGGTTTGTCCCTAGATGGCATATTATTTGAACAAGAAAAACAATGACACCTATTCAACACCCTTCCCATCTTTTGAATATACTTCGCTCATGCCAGACACTGGAAATGTTATCACCTTGGTAGCCCTTTGTCATCCAGTTGTGATCTGCGGCTCTGGATCTGTTGCACTCTATATGCCCTTGCGATTAGACTAGATATAAAACTTCCTGAGCCCTGAATTAAACTCTGGGGCCCTTAGTCCATTAGTAGATCTGGGTGAATTCCAGCAAATAGATTTTTTTGTCAAAAATGTCAGTGATCCAAAACTATTTGAGAATTTGGGTCAAATTTGACAAATAGTAAAAAATGGTTTTTTTAAAAGTTGAAACATTTTCATTTTGACCATGTCGAAATGTTTTGACATTTTGTTTCAAAACAGCATTTCAAATTCAAATCTGAGCAATTGAAAAGTACCTGAAAACAATCAAATCCAAATGAATAACTTGAAAAAAAAATTATTGCCTTCAGTTTGCACATCAGACATCCCTAAATACGCTTGTTCTGAATCCTTCAATATTTCTCGCAAGGCTGTGTTCTCAGCATGATTGTGTGGACAGGCGAGTGCACCTCCAGCTTTTGCACACAGGGATTTTCCATTTTTAAAAGAATCTTTTGTGCCCGTTGACATAAATGTTTTCTTACCAACACTCTTGACCCACCGCAAAGAAAAAACTAGAAACAAAAGAGATCATTAAAATGAAAATTCTACATGCGTTATGGGGGAAGTTAATCTCACTGTAAGAATTTACCCACAAAACACTAGGCACATTAATTGCACTTTGTAAGTAACAAACGACACTTATACAAATAATGTGACTTCTGCCAACGTTATAGATGAAACTGTGCTAGCAGCAACTATTTGGAAACAGAACAGCAGCTAGCTGGTTTCTTGAATGATTTCCAGGACAAATATGAACGGAGATTTTTTGACTGAAAAACCATGTTATAAAATTGTACTGCAGAGAAAGGGAGATGAATACACAGTAGCATTTTCCTCTGTTGCACTAAAATGGGGGAAAATTCACCTCGGGCATATATGGTGGAAGAGCTAGTGAAGACAGGGAACTTATACTTTATTCACTGTGTCATCTAAGCCTGCTTAGAGCAGATGAAGACAACCCACTCTCAGCAACCAGCTGAGCTCTTTCACCCAGGATGTCCCTATGGCAATGATGTCTAGGACCCTGTGCATTAGTGCTACCCTCACTGCTACCACCAGTGCAACTGAGCCAGTAGTAGTGCATGTGTGGGAGAAGGCTGTACAGTGTTTAAGCTGCTATTATCACCCCTTTACTTGCAAAGATTCCCCCCTCCCTCTCCTCACCCCAAAAATACAATCATGTAATATCTCACACTTTTGGTGTCTGCTAACGTCAGCTTGAAGAGTCTGGATGTTCTTTTCCAAAGCAGTTACTTGTCTTTGAAGAGCATCAAATGCTAAGAAAAACAGTTGGGGAGTCATGTAATAAATCATTTCAAAATTACCATACAATCATTGCCTTTGGACTGGCCAGTTGCCTAACTGCTACCGTATGGGTGGGCGGCATGATGCCCTAACCAGGGGTCGCCAGCTCCAAAAATATTCACAACATGACTACAGCTGGGTGATAACTGATTTTTTGGTTCACTGGCAGTTTTGCAATTAAACAACAACAACAAGAACAAAAATAAAAAACAAACAGATAAATAAACAACCCCCACAGTTTGTGAAAAGTGTGTTATTTTGATTTTGAGCTTTTAACATTTTTAATGAAATTGAAGGAAAATTTAAAACAAAAAACCTGAACTTTCTTTTAAAAAGTGTCAAAACAAAACATTTCAGACTTTTTCAGAATTTGTTTGTTTTCCCCAATCAAAATAATTGAGTGAAATTGACACGGATTTGCAAAATGTTTTGGTTGACCTAAATCAGCATTTTTTGTTGAAAAAAATTTTGGATGAAAAATTTCACCCAGCTCTAAAAATAACATCTTTGCTTTCTTCACTGGGAACCCAAACATCATTTCAAACTGGGTACTGGTACACACACTAATCAGATGGGGATCTTCTCTCTGTCACTGGTCACCACTTCCACTTAATCACAATCAGTCATCTGTGTGTGGGCATAGCTCTAGGGATTAATTTTTTCCAGTTAGAATATTTTTTAAAGTGTGTTTCTACAGAGTAACAAATGTGTTCCACACAAAGATGGAAAGCAAAGAGGAAACATGATTGGGAAGAGGAGCAAAAGGGGAAAAAAATATCAGTTATCTTAAAAGAGGAGGAGATAAAAATAACACATCCCCTAGAGTTTCCTCTGTATGCAAAGGTGAGTCGTGTGAACACATTTCAGGGAATATTTCTATATTCCTTGGGTTTGTCCCCTGTTCTCCTATACAGTACTTGTGCCATGTCGATTACCATTCATTCTCCCCAAAGCTTTGGGAGAGCTCTTCACCCCCAAATAGTGATGAAAAGAAATACAGGACACTGCCATGAGCCTACCAAATTTCTCCATGCAAAACGTGACAACAGATATTGACCAGAATACCTGAGTCAGAGAGAGTCGACTTCTCACTTGCACTTTCTCCCTTTTGTCCTTTTTCGCCTTGTGGTCCTTGATCTCCTTTTGTTCCCTGAGGTCCTGCCTTTCCAGGGAAACCCTGCAAACCCCTCAGTCCTGCTCCTAGTATTTGGTTAAAAAGAAATCAGTTAGCAAAAAAAAATATTTTGATGAAAAATTCCCAACCAGCTCTACTGGGATATTCAAAATTGGACTGGACAAAGCATTCAATAATTCACTTTAGGAAACAAATCTGCTGTGAGATCTACAAATGAGCTCTAACTTCTGTTATTCTGTGAGAATAACTGTTAATCAACTATTCTTATTATAAATCACATATACATGGAATAGCATTGTAAATGCATTACAGTGCTTTGTAAACATGGGCCCTGATCCTGCAAGCTGCTCCATGCAAGCAGATCCCCACATCTGTAGAGCACCTAGTAGAAGTTAATGAGGCTCTGACTGGACACAAGGACCTGCCTGCATAGAACAGCCTGCAGGGCTTCTGCCAAAGCTAGAGGGGAAAGTGAAATTGATGGATGCTTTTTCTCATGATGGGGCATAAGAGCCTACTTAAAAGCAGCCAGAGGAAAGAGAGAACATTTAAAGTTCCAAGAGAGAGACAGAATCAGAGAAGGACCCAGGGAAGGCAGAAGACAAAGGATGATAGCCCCAAGGGGACTGATAGACGGGTCACAGATATAATCTTAGTAAATGATTACAGCACTTTACCTTGGTCTCCCTTTTCTCCTTTGGGACCCTTTTTCCCATCTCTTCCATCTCTGCCTGATAAACCATTGGTTCCAGAAGCACAACATTGAATGACTGGGCATGCATTCATGTTCTCTTCATGTTTATTTATATCCACACCTGATGACATCATCAATGCCACAGCCAGAACCAGAGCTTTGAAAGGCTGACAGAGATGCATTGTCAAGCCTGTAGATCTGTGACTAATAAAAAAGGAATAATCACATAAGCATCTGTACGTAGGTTGTTCTATTGTCACTGTGTAGGAGATACACAACCGAGGTCAAGATTCTTAGGACCTGGTTCTCATTTGCACTAAGGCCCCTTTACACCACACAAGCATTGTTAAAGATCCTTAAAAATAATGATGGCAGGATAGTAGTGAGGGGAGATTTCTGAGAGCTATTTGGGCCTTGTTGATTCATATTGTGAGCAGTGATTGGGGAAGGGGAAGATCTGGAAGTTCAGTTCAAAGAAGCCCAATAAGAGCTACAAGATAAAGAATCTGGCAAGCCCTAGATTTAGTCAGTAGTCTGTTGTAGACTACATGATGAAGTCTATAGCAGACTGTAGATGTTAGACTGGGAAAACACCTATTAGAATAGGTCTTCCAGTCCATTCTCCTGCCAGTTCATGAGCTTATTAGTGTTTTGTTCTCTCGAGGGGATTCATTCTCCTGAAGGACTCATATGGAATTTGAACTGGGGATTGCTCAAACCCAAAGTCAGAATTTAAACGAACCAGCTATTGTGCCTGAACGTGTGATTACGGCTCCACAGATATCAGGAGTGATGTACATCTGATCACGTTCTTTTCCTCTACATAGCTACTCATCACTAATCCCAATGCAAATAAAAAATACATTAAAATACAATGAGTTTGACTCATTGTTTCCACGTAGCTGCTGCCTGATTGCTTCCCAATTAATACTTGATGAGCAATTGAGTTTTGCATGTAAATAAGGTATGTCGCTATCGCACTATCATTCCTGAAGTACTCTTGGATTCCATGTATGGTGACTCCAGGGAGCACATATCAAAGTGATGGCAACAACAGAAGTCATTGTGTGGCTAACTCTCTGCAAAAGGTACACACTAATTGAGCTTGATTAATGAGTCTCTAATTTGAGGCAATCAGGTCCAGGAATTAAAGTATTTTTTATAGAGCTGAAATAAACAGCAAACTGCCATGAATACCAGTTTACTTCAACTTTTAGTTCGTCGGGCCAAATACTGAAAGCCAGTGATTTTCCTCTCACATCCGCCAGTCAGTGTAAAATCAGGAGTAATGCCAGTTAAGATCTAGTTAGTATAAAACTTGTGTAAGGGAAAAGAAAATCCAGCGCAATAGGACTTTTGCCATTAATGTCAGTGGGACCTGGATTTAGTGCTCTTTCTTTTTAAGCTTCACAAAAATGTATCCAGTCCTTAGCCTGACTCCCATATTTCTTTTCCCCAAAGACTAATGCACAATCCTTCCACAGAGCTAGAAACAAAAGTTACTTCTGGACCTACTTGTGGAGTACTGAGCTCCTTGGCACTAGCTAACAGATCACTGATCCCCAGAGCTAACAATGTGATCTAGGAAATCACGGCCTTGTTTCTTCCTGCTCTAACCATTAGGACACATTTTGTTGGGAGGAGACATGACTCATGCATGATAATTTGCTAATCTTCCAACAAAAAGTGTTCCTCTCCAATCTTTACCAGCTTCCCATGCTCTCCTCCCTTCATCTCCAAACAAGGAAACAATGAGAAATTAAGAGAAACAAGAAAAGTGAGCACTGAAGGAAAAACTCATTGCAACCCATTGTTTCAATAACAGCTGATGAGGCCATAAGGTAAAAGTGAGGACAATTTCAAAATAACAAGTTATTCATTTCTCCAAAAAAGCCCTGATGCTGCCCCTCCAAAAATCATCCCTCACCTACTCCCTCCCTTTGCTATTTGCCTACTCATCTGCCAGTGCTTAAGACTCCTTCTGATGTTTTGCAGCATGCTTGCCCTGGCATCCCACACGTACATATCCTCTTATTCGGTTCTCTGCTGCTCCTTTGTTCCTCTCATCTCCATACACAGAGAGCTGAAGTGCCTGCCTAGCTGCTGCAAAATGGTGTTAAGACTCTCCAGCTGGTCCCATCACTCCCTGTGCAGCACCCCAGAAAAGTCTTGAAGATTTTCTGCCCCAACACCCCTGCTGATGGTTTAGGTAAGAAGCACAAATGGCTGCTCTTCTTGTGTTGACTTTTTCCATTTTCCCCCCAAGTGCTGATTCCTCAACAGAAGAGAACAAGCAAGGAATTGCTTTTCACAGAAATAGCAAAAAGATAGATCTACCACACTTACTCATGTTGAGTAATACTCTACTCCATGAGTAGTTCCAGTGATTTCAAATGGGATTTCTCATGGAGTAAAGTACTACTCAGCATGAGTAAGGGTGACAGAATTTGAGACCGACTCTTTAGGAAAGTTATACCAGAGTGAGTCAGAGCAGAATTTGGTCCCAAGTGATGCTCCCCACTTGTCCAAGGTACGGCAAGAAATAGTTGAGAAAAAAGAGACCTCTGCCTACTCTATACAGTGCTTGGTACTCTTTAAAAAACAGAAGTGGAATAAATGTAACATAAAGAGGTATTTCTCAGTGCCAGTTATAAGGAAAGCTGGGTGAAAGAGAAACAGACTTTCTGGAATGACTATTCACGATTAGCTTTGAAAATGAGTAGCAGGCAGGATCTCATATTTCAGTAGGTGAAGTTCAATAGATTTTTTGTTGTTATACCATCAATAAGCCACCTATGAAATAATGTGTGCTCACAATGACACAGCCAAGTACTCTGACTACAATTCATCAACATATCGACACCCACCACTGACACCAAGGGCGACGGGACAGGAAACTGAGGCCACTGCCCCAGACCTGGGCGTAAAGATAAGGTGAGGAAGGGGAGCTGAGACTGGCATTACCTCATTGGCAGGTCTAGGGTGCTATAATTACTTTGGAGAGCCAATACAGGGGGGTGAGTGCTGGTGGAAATAGCGTGCCGTCTGCACTCACACAGCACCAGGAGCCCTGACCAGCCCACTGCTGCCATGGAACTATAACACTGGTCCAGGGACAAGGGTGGACAAAAACAGAGGAAGAGGAGAGAACATAAACTAGTAAGAGGGGCCAGAGAGCAGGGGGAACAGCGAATGGGGACAATATGCTGGGTGAGGGGACAGAGGCCAGCAGTAGGAGAAGGAAACACCCAGGGAGTTGGGACAGGTGAAGGGTTGAATGCTCTGAGGCAAGAGGGAGTGGAGCAAAAAGATTGGTACGGGATTGTTGACTCTGTGGGACTGGACCACAGTAGCCCTGATTCTGCTTCTGGGCTTGGGCCCTGAAAATCCCAGTGGCAGCCCCATAGACACAAGAGTCACAACAAAGGGCTGTTATCCCAGAAACCTGAGATTCTAAAAGGGAAAGTCCACAAATTCAGCTATTAGGGAGAATTTATCTTCAAACAGAGTCATCATCATCATCACCTTTCTCGTGTTGAGGTCACTGGGAAGCAGCAAGACCCAGAAATCAGCCAGTCACACCTGCTTGCAGAATAACTGTCTGAATTCCTTCTGACCCACTGTATCCAAACCGGAAAGTGAAGGCTTTAGTTTGCTCAAATTTTAATAATTACCTACCAGCACCTACCTTTACTTACCCAATACACAATGAAGCAATGTAACGCACTGCCAGCTTATCTGACTGATGATGTAACTGAATGCAGTGTACAAGAAACCTTAACAAATCCAGTGGATTTCTCCCTAGCTGCATAAGAAAGCAAGAGTATGTTAGACTTGCTAACAGAGGCAGTGAAAAGAGATTTACATTGACTAAAGGTATTCCCTTGTTATCACTGTCCTTGCACAACTCTGTGGATTGCACAACTGAACCCGATATCTTACTATTTACTGGTACTGGATGTGTTTTTTAGGAAAATATTTGCTGTTGACTGCTTCACCTTATGCAGACCTTGGCCACATTGCAGTTTAATTTAAAATCATCAACTCGCCCCCCTGCCCAACGTTGCACATTTCTATCCTTAACACTTTTTTCCCTCTCATTCCAGTAAATGGAGCTGCTTTTGTGTAAGGAAATAGAAGAGTACACAATGTTGTTCTCCTAACACTCTGTACCATTCGACAACATCCAGCTATGTCTGGCATTCCCTGCAGCAGGGTCTTAACTAGCTGTGGGAAATATTTGCCTTGCTAAAAACCTCTTTGATTATTTTTGTTTACTGATGAGAAGTCGGGTACGTAAGAGCAACTTCTGGTAAAAGGTTTAAGCAATCAAGGCCATTTTAAATTAATTTCTTCACTGCTGTATGATTTCTAAGTGCCAGTCACCAGCTGGCAGTGTGGAAGGAGATTGGATCTCTCATTGGTGGTGAGAGAGAAGGGCAGCTTGAGGTTGATTGGAGCGCTGGTTGTGGGGAACAGTTGATGGCAACTGAAATGGGAAGAGTTGGCATTGCCGTGGGCATCTTTGTGTAATGAATCAAAGCCACAGGGATAAGACATTGTGCTGAGATGCAGGAGTGACTGGCAGTAGCAGTGGCTATGCCACCTCCACCAACTTCACGGAACCTGGCCCACAATATCCATGTACCTCCTTACTCTAGATTTCTCTCCCCAGCAGGGAGCTAGTTCCAATAGCAGGGTCATCTCCTTTCCCATGGTTTAGTTTCTGGGTCCTAAAGTTCTCTCAGACCAGGGGAGAAGGAAGGAGTCCCTTAGCTGGCCGCTCAGGGTGTCTGTTGATGGCTAACCAATTGGTGTTTTGGCTCATGGGGAGAAAAGGCAGAGCCTGGGGAAAGGTTCTGGAGAGAGACACTAAGGAGCAGAGTGAATAATTGATTTTTCAGTTTGAGAGTCAAACCAAAACTGATTTTTTTTTTACCAAAATTAAAAGAAAAGGGAAAAATTAGTTTGGGGTCAAACAAAACACTTAAATTGACGCAAAACAATCCCCCTCCCTTAGTTAAATTTCTAAATGAAGCACTGTTCTGAAACAAAACGTCTAAATGTTTAATTTTGAAATGATAGAAACAAAAAGTTGTAATGTTTTCACAAAAAATTGCCATTTTTTTGGCTGAAACTATTTGACAAATGTGACCTGAATTTATGAATAGTTTCAGTGGTCCCTCTGCCCCCAAAATGATTTTTTTTGTGAATGTACTATTTGCTGAAAAAAATCGCCAAGTTCTAATCCAAACACACAAACACAGGCCTAGTTTGCATTAGAAAAGTTTAACTGAATAGATTGCAATAAAATTGACCTAGTTAAACCAGTGCAACCTTTGGGATGCGACTCAAATACTTCTAGAATTTTCCATTTCAACAGTGACTTATTAAAAATGTTGTAACAAGCAGATCCTAGATACTGAAATGCCTGTAAATAGAGATGGAAGGGAATCCTGAAATCTCAATTCTGCCACTTGACTTTTCATCCCAAGTCCCTGCCTGTCAAGATAATGCATTGCCAGGTGGCTCTATATGGAACAAAGTGAACATCTTGTAGCCTTTTAAGTTAGAAACATGCCATGTGTCTAATTCCTATGGATTTCCCAGGATGGGTCCTT